GCACAGGTTGTAAATGGTACGGATTTCTACCATCTTTATGTAGAACTTTTCAAATTTTCGATTTACTCATCCCGAGTTGCCGAGACGTTTTTTAATCCAAAAAGATGAAAGCGACGAGTGTAAAGAATTTTGTTGAAGTGCTTACAAATTGCACTTACTTTTAAGCATAAACATAAATACTATTGTAATATTATGGTTAGAAGTATCTGCCACAAGGGGATTGTATTGGTATGAATAACTTGAGAACGGTGAAATTTACGGAAAAAATTCAAGTTACCTATTTTAAGTATTTTGTGCATTAGAATATAAATCCGTTACAATAACTTGTAAAAAATACAGTGGCGTAGGTTTTTTTTTATAAAAAAGGGGTGATCCTGTCCAGTTGTACACCACTGGTTGAACCTTTAGAGCTAATATTTTAGGTAATGCAAGGCCTACTGTCATACATTATCTGTACTAAATTTTATTGAGATCGGTGAATAGATTCCGGAGATATAAACACAAAATTTAATTTTTTTAACAACTTCAACACCCTGTATCTCTAAAACGAGGCCGTTCCAGTCCAATGTTTATAAGGCAAACAGCTATTATTTTAAAGAGATCTATCTACCCTCGAAGTTTCCTGCATAAAATTCGGACCACCCTGTATATAACGAATGTTCGCCAGTGACGTCAGCTGACTTTATTGATGCCCGAGCGCTTTAGTTCATTTCTAGTTGTAATGAGGCACGTGGTCTAATTCTGAGTCAATGTTTTCACAACGTACTTATTAGAAGAATTATGCGGATACGCCACGCCTTTCGCGGCTCATGAGATTTTGAAACTACTCTACCTGTGTTTTCAGAATGGGATTTATTTTAGAAAATAAAAGTTTTATTTGTATACCGAATCTTCTAATATTCCCGAACCTTGGAGAACACTTCTCCACCGAGTGAACCCGGACTGTTTAAAGTGACTGTACTAGTTCGGCGTCTGCGACCGAACACCACACGCTAAAGAAATTGCCCGTAGGCATACTGCGGGTAAAACCATCAGAATTTACACAGATAGTAGACAAGCATTACTGATCTTACGTAATCATAAGATAATGACTATGTCAGTATGGGAATGCCACCAGGCACTGGTCGTGGTCTCATTTTCCAACAGCATAACTGTACGGTGGGTCAAGGCGCACGAGCCGTGCAATGGTAATAAGAAACCAAGATTTTTACAAAAAATGTATCGCATTTATGTAAAAATATACAGGGTGTAACGGATGCTGATGGCCAAACTTCAGGGGGTTATTATACAAGTAATTTTCAACAAAAAAGTAATATAAGATTTTTTTGGAATGTTGATAGTTGCTCTTTTATTTAACATTTTTTGATTTCAAAAAATTTTGCTCCTTTTTTCATAAAAACAAAAATATCTCTGTTATTCTTACAGCCACATCAAATTTAGACATACCATCGGAAAGAGCATTAAATTTACTACAAGACGAGCATATATGAGTGTTTAAAAAATCTTCTATACCAGGTGCTGTAAAAAGTTAAATGTAATAATTGTGAAATGAGCAAAATTAGTGGTATCTCCTTATTGGTGATAACGCCAAAAATTTGTTAATGAGGACGTGTTTTTTCTTCAGCAAAAACTACTGTATTTAGTAAGCTCTTCAACGATATATCAACTTTTGAGTTTACTATTTTTTTTTGGCAACAATATCAAGGGCAAAGGTAATAAACACCGTAAAAATCGAAAATACACAAACTTTATAGTACTTTATTTTTATTTTAAGACTGCTTTTTTAAATTAAAGTAACAAAATTGTTGAAAAAATTATTTATAACTTAGTAACATATTTACAATGACTTAATAATTTTCGATGTAACCTCCCCCTTGACGGATACATAAAGCGCACCTTCTCCGCACGGAAGCAACTGTGCGACGCACTTCTCCATTTTGCTGTCGAAGTAGCTCCCAACAAGCAAAAATCCTTTGTTCGAGCTGTTCTCGAGTTTCAATTGGTACTTCATATACCAAAGATTTTAATCTACCCCACCAAAAGAAGTCTAACGGAGTTAGATCAGGACTTCGAGGAGGCCACCTAACTGTACCAAAGCGTCCTATCCATCTATCTTCATAATGCTCATTTAGCCATGCGCGAATCTCCCTGCTGTTATGTGCAGGGCAACCATCCATTTGAAGCCAGGAATTAATCCGAAAATTTAAAGGAACTTCTTCTAATATATTATGCAGTTCGTTCTGAAGAAGATCAAGAAATGCCTCTGCATTTAATGTATTTTCTAGTATAATTGGTCTAAGAACGTAATTTCCAATTATACCCATCCATACGTTAACTTTGAATCTGTATTGATTATTGGAGGGCCTGACAGCATGAGGATTCACAGGTGCCCACGTATGGTCATTATGATAATTAAATATGCCATCTCTGGTAAATGTTGACTCGTCAGTCCAAATTATATGCTTGTAAAATTGGGGATCTCTATTAGTTTGTTGGATATACCACTGACAAAACTGAACACGTTCTGCCCTATCACGATCCAGTAAACTTTGAACAGGGGTCAAATGATAAGGGTGAAGGTTGTTCCTTCTGAGACTTCTGTGAACTGACGTATGCGAAATTCTCCCAAGTTGTATTGCTGCCCTGCGTGTACTTAATGTGGGAGTTTCTTCAAAAAGCGCTGTTATAATTTGGTCTTGATGACGATTTACTCGATCGGCATTTAGACGATGAGGTCCTGGAACACTGCCTGTTTCTCCCAAAACCCGAAATGTAGTTACAAAAGTTTTTCTGTTTGGAATGCGTCTTTCAGGATAGCGGCGAGAATATTCTGCAACTGCTGCTCTAGAATTTCCATTGCAAACACCATACACAAATAAAATATCTCGATACTCGTTATTTGTGAAAAAACGTGGCATCTTCAATTTAGATACTTAAGTAGGTAATTAACAAGAACACTAAAGTAATTTTATGACTTTGACAGTTGTGTCAATATTGTTTTTCACAGCCGCCTTGGCATTTATCTATCATGAAAGACGCATTCTAAACAAAAACACATTTGTAACAATATTGCGGATTACAGAAGAAAGAGGGAGAGTTAAAAAACAGCTTTTTGAAGAAACTCCCACAAAAACTACACGCATGGAGTAATACGAACAGATTTAAAATAAAAATAATGTATTATAAAGTTTGTGTATTTTCAATTTTTACGGTTTTATTACCTTTGCCCTCGATATTGTTGCCAAAAAAAAATAGCAAACTCAAAAGTTGATATATCGTTGAAGAGCTTACTAAATACAGTAGTTTTTGCTGAAGAAAAAACACGTCCTCATTAACAAATTTTTGGCGTTACCACCAATAAGGAGATACCACTAATTTTGCTCATTTCACAATTATTACATTTAACTTTTTACAGCACCTGGTATAGAAGATTTTTTAAACACTCATATATGCTCGTCTTGTAGTAAATTTAATGCCCTTTCCGATGGTATGTCTAAATTTGATGTGGCTGTAAGAATAACAGAGATATTTTTGTTTTTATGAAAAAAGGCGCAAAATTTTTTGAAAACAAAAAATGTTAAATAAAAGAGCAACTATCAACATTCCAAAAAAATCTTATATTACTTTTTTGTTGAAAATTACTTGTATAATAACCCCCTGAAGTTTGGCCATCAGCATCCGTTACACCCTGTATATGTTAATAAAATTCGGTTTTCTCAAAGACGGTACAAGATATCGACTGATATAAGGTGTACCTTTTTTTTAGCAAAGTGAGAGAAGAATATCAAACTATGAAAGAAAAATGACAAAAAATGGATAATTTCGTCTGCCCCTGTATAATCCAGGCATATTGAATAACAGTTTAAACTTGGAAATGGAAACTACTACGAGTTACTCTAATTGCCCAAGTTTCATTGTTATCATGGTAACGACTTAGAAGTTATAATTGGAATTTGATTTTCAAACTTCTTTCTTTGAAGGCGAATAACTCCACAACGAAATCCGATACAATTCAATAAAATTTCACGTAGAATCCGAAAACGCAATTATATATGGTGTCCCATTTAAAATAAGAAAGTTAATGCCGACTCCCGGTATAACTCGAAGTACCATAAAGTTCTAAATATTTTAGCTATGTTGGCCCTACTGCCTTTGGCTAGGTAGCCAAATTTTCAGATTTAGCGGATCAGTACTTTCCGAGATTTCCGACATATCGATAGTGGCGACTCCTGGTGGGACACCCTGTATATGTGTATATTTTCTGTTAAAGCTGGTAATATATTTAAAGAAATCAAGACTTTTTAAATTATGAATCCGGCAATTGTTAATTTTTAAAAAGCTTCTGTGTTCATTAAACATTTTATATGTATATTGGAAAAGTTCAATAAATAAACTACCTGCAAGCCAAAATGGCAATTAAAACTTTTCAGTAGGTCAAACCATGACCTTTTTAGGAAATAAAACGTAAAAATTGAATTAGAAAAGTGGGTGTAATTCCAAAATGCATTAAAAGTACCTATAGTGTCCGTTTAAAATATGTTCTTATGGAAAATCTACCTGAGCAAACTTATTCCTCTAAGGCCCCTAAGGTGGCAAAATTGTAACTTAACAATTCTAAAAAATGAAGAATTGGCTATGTAACTTTACTATGTTCAACAGCTGACGGTAGTTTAGACATTTACAGCCAATATCCAGTGAAATTACTTCTTACAGATGTTGTGGATTTGTTATTTTCTTTACATTTCCATTACCTCACGCTGGCAGTATTCTCATCTAACTGAGCACGAACAGTGAAATATCAAGCAAATTTAACAGACCAAAATGATAAATAGAAGAAATAATTTCACTTATTAAAACTGAAAAATGAATCTTAAGACTATTTAAGACTAATTCACACTGATTGACAGCAAATTTACTGACACTAAATTAAAAAATACTTGTAATTGTTTTTAGGTAATTAACGTTTTTAAACACAAAAGAATATTGTAAAATAAAATTACCTTGGGAAGTTGCTTTCTCAATTCTTAAAACTGCTGTTATAATTAAAATAAATGCTGCTGTTAGAAACATAATTACAGCGGATGGTGCGAAGGTGTCACTGAGTAATAAACTAAATATCAGTGTCACATAAATACCAATGATAATAAATGCTGTACTGTAGACACTTCCTAATCCACAAATAATTGGAATTTCTTCATTAGATTGTTGTTGTTCCAATAGGGTGCTCTTAATTTTCTTAAACAATATTGAAATTTTATTCTCCTCTTCTATGAAATTTCTTCCCGGAATAATATATGTACACAAAGGTTTTATAATAGTTGCTACTATACCAAATAAAGTTAGTGCATATGTTAACCATGCTAGTGCCTCAACAAATTTAAATGGATTCGGTTGCCTTTTATTCGATGGAAGTCTTTTTAATACCCAATAACCACCTATGCACACCACAATAACAGTAGGCACAAATTTAACAAGAATTACTGTTAATGAGTATCCATTTAAATTCCCACAGTTTCTTAACCATTCTTTTGTCATAAAAACAAATACTGCTAAAGAAATAACTGCAATGGCCCACTGTATTTTAGTCGTTTCTATTTTTACAGTTATATTGCTGACTTCATGTGGATTTCCAAAACACCACTGTTGTTCTTCTCTGCAGCGCCAAAAATACATTGAAACCCTTACTAATGTTGCTATACAAACAGAAAATAATAACAACTTTAATTTAGGCCACTTTAAAATATTTGTTAAATTGCTTCTGCATTTGATATTCATGTTATTGAACAATGTAACTTTTGCTGTTCCTACAAGTATAACGGTAATTAACAAAAACAGAAGAACAAAAGATTCCTCAATTATATAACTATTTGAAAATAACCCACAAATATTGAATGCTAAAACTATTCGACATATTAAATTAGGTATTTTTTCTTTTTTGTTCCTATCATACCAATTTAGACTAATCAGTTCCCAGTTCTGGACAATGAGAATAACAAAAATCATTTGTGATACAATGCCTGTAAAGAAAATAATCACGCTTAATAAACTATCAACAATTTCAAAATAATATAAAACAAATCCAGAAGCAGCTGCTAAAAATAACATTATACAGGAACATAAAACGAATGAACTCATAAAAATTTCGGATAATCTGTTATAGGGTATACCGTCTGTTATCACAAATACAAAAAACAGGGATGTAAATAAAAATAATAATCCTCTTGTCATGGAAAATGAGTCAAATTGTATCCAAACATTCTCACACATTTTACGTAAATTAAATAAAAAATTTACAATATCTTCATACAAGTGTAAAAAATGTTCTTCATTATTAACAGAGATTAATTCTGTTTTTAATAAAAAATACATCTGATAAAACTTATTTAATATATCTTCATTGAAAGTATTTGTACTCTCAGAATATTCTTTAATGTAATTTTGAACTTGATTAACATTAACCCATAAATGATAAAGAACTAAGCGCCAGGTTTCGATTTCAAATGATTCATTTGTGATTGGTAAACAATTCGGAATCAGTATCCCTAAATTTTGAAACGGTATTGGAACTCCAAGGATAGCAGCTAAAGTTGGAACAATATCTACTTGCTTCACAGAGTCTTTTGTTCCATCTAGGTTTAATAGAGGTTGCTTAGAGTAAACAAAAAATCCGGCAGTAACTTCTTCCTCACTTTCACCACCGTGATCACCTGAAAATACAAATTTTTTTATTAAGCTCACCTCAGAATGACAAATTAGGGAAGAGAACTGTCGCTGAAACAAAAAATGGTTAAAAAACAGATTTTCTAATTCGTTTTTCGTACAAACGATTAACATACTTCTGCTAAAACATATCTGTTACAATCGAATTTTTACAATTACCTATAGAGAGTGTTTCAAAAAGATGTCGCCAAACTTGAGGGGGTTATAGAGGACATTGCGGAAGAAAATTTTTGTATATAAACCCCTAGTCGGAAAGGAGCCGTTTGGGCCCTGTAGCAATTTTTATTTAAAAACATAATGTTATTACGTTGACCTCAAAACGCTTCGATATTTAAGTAATTTTATTAAGGATAACGCAAAAATAATAAATTTATAGTAATCGTGCAAAACGGCTTGTTCTTTAGTTCAATGCAAAACCTCTTTCTCAATGACAACTGTCAGTGCAGTTCGTAGATGTCAACTTCCTATATCTGGTTTAAAGTTGACTTTTTCTCTTAACTGACGACGGCTTGAAGAAAATGTTGTTCGGCAAGGATGTAGGTGATTCGAGAAGCGCTCAGCTTCTCTAGCGTTGCATTTTGCTTCGCCATAAATAAAATGCATGTCTGCATACTCATCGAACGTAAATTGGTCCATTTCAACACCTTAGAAGCAAAATTTCGTCGCAAACAAAACAAATATGAAACACTCAATTGTTACACATTTTAAGTGATAGCTCTGTTCATTTCTTTCACTATTCCACAGACGACATTGCATGGCTATATTAGATACGTGCAATAGAGCTTTTATGACACAGTTGTGGATAAAATCAATTTTTACCAACACCGTGTGTAGAACATGTAGTTGGTAAACACTTATCAGAAGAGATGTTTATTTTGTTTCAAATCATTTTTTGCCTTATCCCTAATAAAAATTACTTAAATACACATAGTCAACGAGATAATATTACGTTATTGGACAAAAATTGCTACAGGTCCAAAACGGCTCATTTCCGATTAGGGGTTTAGATACAAAAAGGACCCCGCACAATTCTTATGGGCAATGGCTCCCGGTTAAATTGGCTGAATTTTTTTATATGTTACGTATCTAGGCGTCCTGAACAAATGTCGCAAAAATGGGCGCAAAGTCCAAAACTTCACGGACACTAACCCGCCTACCCTACCAAAGGGTAGGCGGGTTAGCCCCTTGTGGTGTGAAATTTAATTATTTCAAGAAAAAATTATCGACTAAACACACTGTTCCCAGGGTTAGGTGAGTTAGCCTGATTGTGATTTGGTTGTCAATTAGGAGAGCTCTGGCGCTTGTTTAAACATTGGTCGAATTTTTAATCAATTAGAATAACTGTGAATATTCAACCAAATCAAATTTTTTAAAATAGGTTTCAAAAGTTCTTGGAAAGACACTTCTTTAAAAAAAACAAATCGATTGGTCAATTAGTTACGTAGTTATAACCCAACAAAGTTAACCGTCAATTACACTAAATGTACTGGGACATCTCGGCTAATTTTTCGAAAAATACCTTTGGTATGCCGAGTACTTATCAGGTCTAAGTTTGCAATACTTTTCTTCATTGGCAACATACTTTAAAACGTGTTTAAAGTTATTTATGCAAGCGAGAAATTCAAGAAAATCGTACGGGTGGTATAAAAAAAAATCATCAAAATCGGACCTCTAGAAGCTGAGATGTTAAAAATTTTTAAGCGCGTCGCGGTTTTGAACTCGCCGATTAAATTTCGAGTAGGCCGAAGCGGCCGCGCTTTCTGCTTCCCCCACCACCACCACCACCCGTACGAGTTTCTTGAATTTCTCGCTTGCATAAATAACTTTAAACACGTTTTGAAGTAGGTTGCCAATGAAGAAAAGTATTGCAAACTTAGACCTGGTAAGTATTCGGAATACCAAAGGTATTTTTCGAAAAATTATCCCGAATGTCCCAGTACATTTAGTGTAAATGACAGATAACTTTGATCGGCTATAACTACGTAACTAATTGACCAATCGATCTGTTTTTTTAAGAAGCATCTTTCCAATAACTTTTAAAACCTGCTTTAAAAAATTTGATTTTATTGAATATTCACAAAGTTATTCTAATTGTTTATAAGTACAAAAATTCCACCAATGTTTAAACAACCGCTCTCCTAATTGACGGATTCGAATTTTTCAAAAAGCGTTTGAAAGATTGAGAGCCCTTCTATACGTAATTAAATTTTCAAGTATCTAAGGGCCTTGGTTTTTGCTGTCCAAAAGTTTGAAAATTTGCAATTTTTTTTCAAAATTTGGATTGCAAAATTATTATGCAAAATCTATCAAACCGATTTTGATGAAATTTGGCGTGATGATTCTACATAACATGAAGTTTTCTTGAGTTAAGTATGAAGGTCCTATACCCAATTTAAAGACCCCAAAAAATTCCCTAAAAAGTAATGTTTTTTGGCGGATTTTTTCGATTTTTACTATAATAATCATGATTCATTCGATTTGTAACTAGTCATATTTTGTAAAAAAATTAACTACAAACAATTCTTTCTCTTCCTTTTTCGACTAAAATCAACTCTTGAAAAGATAACATAATTAAATAGGAAAAATATGACATTTTTCGAATATTTTAACATATTGTGCCGCCAAAAGTTAAGCCCACATTTTTTTTTATACGCATAGAAAAATTTTCATTTCTAGTGATATTTGAAAGCCAAAAAGCCAAAAATCTCCGTGGATGTACGATTCACTCAAACCAAAACAGATACCGCCTAGTCGATACCGGGTGATTCAGCTAAAACTCCGCGGGCTAATTACTTGGAAACAAAAGAAGATATATACGTTCTGCGAGTTTTATTTGTTAAATGTACAGAGTGATTTTATTTTTGTGTAGAAATAATGCCATTGGGATGGACGTCGCCGGCGTCGGGACGCCGAGAAAATATTTTTTCATTGCAGGAACTTTAAAAATATAACTATCTAAGAGTAAAGTATTTTTTCAACGTTTTTTGTCATATATACTTTTTCGTCAACATTAGTATTTTTTGAGATATCCCATTATTTATTTTGAACACCATATTTTTTTAAATACAGTTTCGTTGACTTTTACTTTAAATATTAGGAATTAATAAATCGGTATGATTTGAAAAAAAGAATTTTGCAAAAATAATATCACTAATAAGTACTGAATAAAGGTACAAAGTACATCTTACTATTGTTAAAGAATATTAACTTACTAATAAACTTTTATTCAAGAAAATTAAAATAAACTATAAGTAAAAATGATTAAAATGAATTAGTACACTAAAGGAGCTGTTCAAAATTTTCTCCATTTTGGTAGATACACATTTCGAATCGTCGTCTCAGTGCGGTATCACAGGCACTCAATAATGTGTGACGGTCAATTGCAGTACAGGCTGCCTGAATTTTGTTGCATAAATCGGCCAAATCCTCTATTGGCTCTTCATACACAATATTTTTTAAATGACCCCACAAGAAAAAATCAAGGGGAGTCAAGTCTGGTGCACGTGCAGGCCAACAAATTGGTCCATTTGTTCCAAACCACCTGTCGCCATATGTGGCGTGCAAATAATCTGTGACAATTCTTGCATTGTGTGGGGGAGCACCGTCTTGCTGAAACCACAAACTGCGCCGCACATTAATAGAGATGTTTTCTAATAACTCGGGTAATTCATTTTGGAGGAAGTTTAAATACATTTGACCATTTAGTTTACCCTCATAAAAATATGGTCCTATTAAATTGCCATCCAAAATACCACACCAAACATTAATTCCAAAAATATTTTGGTTGTGAGATATTTTGGTCCATTTTGGATTTACGTCTGACCAATAATGACAATTGTGCATATTTACCACACCATTGTTATGGAAACGGCTTTCATCAGTCCATAGTATTTTCTTCGTTATGGTATTATCTTCTTCGTACAATACGGAAAAATTAGCAAGAAAATCTAATCTGCGTTGATAATCATCGGGTCTCAAATGATGAACAATGGTTGCTTTGAATGGATGGAACCTATTATCAGAGAGCATTCTATGACAGGAGGAATACGAAATTCCAGTTTCTTCCGAAATATTCCTTAATGAAATTGTTGGATTGTTCTCAACAGTCTGCAAAATTTGTGCCACATTGTCATTATTTCTGATAGTCCGTACTCGGCCACGTTTACTTTTCTGAAAGCTGCCATATTGCATTAAATTTGTTGCTAAATTTTTAAATGTTTTGTTGTTTGGCTGTCGTCGGCGATTAGGATATCGTAGCCTATACAATCTAGTAGCAGCTCTTGCGTTTCTACGGCATTCACCATAAATCATCATAATATCAAACTTTTCGGCATTACTATATTGAACTATAATGCGTTTTTTTTTAATAAAGCACAAACAGAAAACCTGATTACCACTAAACTGTCATACAATTTATTGGTTATTTGACAATTATATAAATAACATGTGACATAAACCTACTAGATAATGTTGCATATTGTATCATTTACGAATGTAAGCATTAGGGCAACTCGAATGCAGTAACTGCATCTGAACTGCATCATGTTGAACAGTGTTCTTTATAAATACTGCTATACAGAACTTCAAGTAAAAGCCAACGAAACCGTATTTAAAAAAATATGGTGTTCAAAATAGGATATCAAAATAGGATATCTCAAAAAATACTAATGTTGACGAAAAAGTGTATATGACAAAAAACGTTGAAACAAGACTTTACTTTTAGATAGTTATATTTTTAAAGATCCTGCAATGAAAAAATATTTTCTCGGCATCCCGACGCCGCCGGCGACGTCCATCCCAATGGCATTATTTCTACACAAAAATAAAATCACTTTGTATATTTAACAAACAGAACTCGCAGAACGTATATATCTTCTTTTGTTTCCAAGTAATTAGCCCGCGGAGTTTTAGCTGAATCACCCGGTATATTATATTGCATATTCAATATCAGTTTAAACTTGGAAATGAACATTACCACTGTACAGGGCCATATTGGTCGGTTGTTAAAATCACATTATTTACGAAATATTTGGTATGCTTATAACAAATTGAATCAAATTTGGTGTGGTGTTAACATTTCCACATGTGCATAATTTACTGTAAAATTTACAAATTTTTGTAGGTCAGTGGCATAGGAATGGGTAATAAAGTGGGATTTTTTTTACCCCAACATCTACGCCAATAACCTAATAATCATTAACTAACCTAACCTAATATTTTTGAGAGATTGCAGAACACGCGGTTTTGTGTGTCGCAAAAAGTTTGTTATTTTTCATACAACTAAAAACAGATTTTAATAAAAAAAATATGGTATTCAATTATACAAATATTGAATTAGCAGATATACATTTTACATACGGTAGAGCGAATGGCAATGCTAGACAAACTGAACGACTTCATAGAGAGACTTTTCCAAATCCACGTTGTTCAACAAGGAATACTTTTTCAAGCGTTCACCGTCGAGCTCGTGAAACTGCATGTTTGTCGCTACCAAAACATAGAACAATAGGAAGACCTTACACACAGTACAGTTCATTTTGAAGACATCATTTTGGACTATGTAGATGAAGACCCATCTACTAGTACCAGACAGATATCAACAAATTTGGGTGTATCACATATAACAATCTGAAACGTCTTACGTGAGCAATTATTTATTACGCCCATATCATGTCCAGCGAGTTCATGCATTAAATGAAAATGATTATCAACTGAGGATTGAATTTTATCGGTGGTTTTTATAACAGTGTGAATAGCTTGATTTTCATTTTCAGTATTATTTACCGATGAAGCGAAATTTACAAGGGAAACCATTTAGAATTGTCATCATAATAACCAACAATGAACGGATGAAAATCCACATATTATTTCCCAACGTCGATTCTGAAAACAGTTTTCTCTGAATTTTTGGGCAAGCATTGTGGGCGATTACTTGATTGGTCCCTACTTTTTACCCAGAACCCTCGATAGTAAAACTTATCAAGGGTTCCTACAAGAAGAATTACCACGACTTCTAGAAGAAGTGCCATTGAAATTACATCAATTATTGTGGAATATGCAAGATGGGGCGCCACCTCATTACAGCCTTACCATTAGTTCCTGAATAATCAGTATCCTAATCACTAGATTTGTAAAGGAGAACCCATTGCTTGGCGGGTTCGTTACCCCGAACTGAATGCCTTGGATTATGGTAACCGGTTGGAATGAGGCACTCGAGTGTATTTTGGAATAAGTTATCCATGAAAAAAATAGTCGCTACTAAAAAAATGTCATCCTCCAAATTTTATCACTTAATCTTATATGCCAGTGAAGTTACAGGGAAATAATATAAAGATTTGAAACATTTAACACCCTGTATCTCCGTGGGGAAGCGTCCTGTTAAAAATTTTTATAGGGCAAAACTTATCATTAACACTCTACATATATACAGGGTGATTCATTGACAATTGTACATACGCTATCTGGATAATCCTGGGCTGAAAATATGAAGAATTGTCACATAATATCTTCTGTGTATTCGTTCCTTTATCTAAATTTTTTATTTAGATTTCTTTGTTTATTGAATTATTATCGTACACTGTAAGTGTCGCTAGACCCTGTGAAATCCATATAGTTATTTAAACTATTACCACCACGCGTTACAATAAACATAGAAATCTAAATAAAAAATTTAGATAAATTTGGAACGAATATACTGAAGATGAATTTTTCGAGACAAAACGTCTGAATCTGGTTCGGTCTGAGGCAGTACAGTATTGGGGGCCATGAAGGCTTGCACAAAATGTAGTAAAATCTCCAGGGTCGTATTTAAAAAAATGAAGTTGACGATGGTCCTGGACAGACGAAACGTTACAAATAAAAATTGACTCTGCCATTCGATAGAGGACAAAAAGTGGCAATGAGAAAGTGTTCTTCATTTTTCAATATCACCTCAAACAAGGCTGAAATTAAATAAAAACGGATTTCCAAAATTTCGTTCTTTTTCAAATATTTCGAAAACTAATTACGTTAGCCTTGATTTTGTAGAGGCATAATGTTGGTCCCCTGATTAGGCAACATTGCCCCTATTTAAACCAGTTCGTATCTCTACCGTTTCCGAGATCCCTGTAATGAGAAGCGAATTTGTAACAGTCTGTATATAACATACCAACACACATCCAATTTTTTTTAAATTTCAATATTTCACATATAACTAACAGGTAGGTACCTAAGCAACCAATTAAATAATTCTATATATCTTTTCAAAAATAAACTTTTAAACATAGTACTAAGTGAAACAACAAAATGCATTCGCTATTTCGTAATTTAGGGAAACAAATTACAAATGCTAAATCTCTTTTACTTGATAATTGAATTATAAACTTTTTAGATTTTGAAAATAATAAATATGATGACTTTTTCAAAAAATCAAAATTAAAAAATTAAAAAGTTCAACAGATTGGTGAACGCTGGTAATAATAATAATGATAATAATAATAAAGAAGAAAATTCAAACAATTATAATAATAATAAAATTTGTTCTGATTGGTTTCAAAATTTATCTGATACTTTTATACCTCATGAAATACAGGAGACATTAGCATTTGGTCATAATTTTTCTTTACCTGTAGTTTACGAAAATGACATACCTATTAATGATTATATCTATAGAATCGGCTATTCAAAACAAGACAGATGATAAAAATACAATCAGAGCTTGTGTTGTTAATGCAATCACTAATTATAAAAACCACATTAAACATAATAAAACAAAATTAAATAGCACTCAAAAAGAAATCCTAGAAAACATAAAACTCGCCATTTTATTGAAGAAAATCCACAAATCACTATCCTTAAATCTGACAAGAGCAATAAAACTGTCGTAATGAACACTTCTGATTACAACTCAAAAATGTTAGATTTACTGAATGATACAAACACATTAAAAAATTAATTCAAATCCTATCAAAATAAAAATAATATAGTTTAATCAAAAAATGATAAAAAAGTAATTTTATAGATGAACAAGAAACTAAGAAATTGTTGATCCATAATGCACAACCCCCTAAAATATATGGTCTTCCAAAATTATATAAAGCAAGTATTCTGTTACGTCCAATTGTGTCCAGTTATGGGTACCGCAAGTGACCCATTTTTAAGCATTACGTCAAGAGCGCCGCAGGACGCATCAACCTTCCAGGAAGGGTCTACGGGCGGGCTGGCGCCGGCGACCAGATGCATCGTGATTTTTCACCCGACGTGATCTCTTCAGCGAAAGTACGCGATTTTGTGCAATTAGAGAGGTTTTTAGTTCGCGCAACGCAGCAAACAAGATGAGCTTCAAACAAGAAACCTACGTCGAAAATCATGCCCGTTCGGAAGACGACAGACTGAATCGCATCGAGCAACAGTTAGTGCAGATGTCGCAGGTAATGGCAAAGCTATTCACGAAGAGTGAACCGCGGCGACCGACGACGAGAACACCCAGATCACGTTCGCAAGACCGATCGTGAAGCCGCGACAGTAACAGTGGTCAGTGATGGTATCACCAACGTTTTGGTGACCGCGTTCGAGTGTGCCACGCTCCGTGCACGATACGTCCGGGAAACGAGACGGGCAGGCGGTGATGGCGAACAGCGACCCGTGCCCGATTCCGCGCCGTTTGTACGTTACGGATATGTACTCCAAGGTCCAGTTTCTCGTCGATACGGGTGCTAATATTTGTGTGTATCCGCGTGTGCTAGTAAAATCGTCGCGATCGAAATCGACGTATGAACTTTCCGCAGCAAATGGTACCTCAATTGCTACGTACGGCACAGTGACAATGACATTAAACCTTCGGTTGCGTCGTTGTTTTACATGGCAATTTATCGTCGCGGATGTCTCTAAGCCGATAATTGGTGCAGACTTTTTATCTTTTTATGGACTACTGATGGACGTGCGCAACAAAAAACTGCTTGACGAAACAACGCAAATTACGTCTCCAGGTCAACTCGCGCATTCTGCGACACCCTCAGTCAGAACGATTTCCGGTGAATCCGTGTTTCATCGCCTACTCAAGCAGTATTCGGACATTACGCGTCCTGCAGCTCCTTCTGCGGCTGTACAACACTAAACCAGGCACTACATCGAAACAACACCTGGTCCCCCCGTCGCTGAGAAGCCGCGAAGATTAGCGCCAGACAAATTCCGCGCAGCGAAAAAGGAATTCGACGATATGCTGAAATTAGGTATCGCCCGTCCTTCGAGCAGTGCGTGGGCGTCACCTTTACACCTCGTGCCAAAAAAGGGTGAAGAATGGTGACCATGTGGCGATTATCGTAGCCTTAACGCACGAACGCGTCCAGACCTATATCCTGTGCGACATATTCAGGACTTTGCACAATCACTTCGAGGTAGGAAATTATTTTCGACCATCGATCTGATTCGCGCATTTCACCAAATCCCTGTCACGGAAGAAGACATTCCCAAGACGGCTATCACTACACCTTTCGGGTTATTTGAGTTCACACACATGACCTTTGGGTTACGTAATGCAGCTCAAACCTTTCAACGCTTCATCGACGAGGTTTTACGTGACTTGGATTTCTGCTACGCGTACATCGACGACATCCTTGTAGCTGAAGAGGAACACCTACGTCACCTGGAAACACTGTTCCAACGGCTGCGGAAGTACGGCGTCGTAATTAACTCCGTAAAGTGCGTGTTCGGACAATGCGAAGTGAAATTCTTCAGATATCTGGTGTCAAATGAGGGCACACGACCGCTGCCCGAAAAGGTCGAGGCAATAAAAGACTACCCGCTGTCTACGACAATAAAGCGATTACGACAACTCCTTGGCGCCCTTAACTTTTACCGACGGTTTGTACCCAACGCAGCAGGTACCCAAGAGCCACTGAATGACCTACTTAAAGGGGATGTTAAGGGAAAGCACCCATAAATTGGACACAAAACGCGAAAAGTGCTTTCGAGGCGGCTAAAGAAAGCTTAGCACAGGCAGCTCTACTCGCGC